ACTCACAACTGGACAAAGTGCAGAGAGGAAGTGACTCTGGAACGCTCGCAATAAAGTGGATATCTGTATCTACCCCCACCCCAACACACAAGGTAGAATGTCCTTACCCTTAGAGACCATCAAAGAGGAAGGGTGTGTGTGTGTGTGTGTGTGTGTGTGTGTGTGTGTGTAGGAGGTCAGAGTCTTTTGAACACGGCAGGGCTCCTGTTCTCATGAACTCACAGCTGCTTTCGTTGCCTATGCAAGGTCCATACAAGATCTAGCCAGGAAGCAATACAGCAAAGGGAATAGTGAGAATGGTGTTTTGTGAGCGCCCACATGTAGCTGAGAAGCCGTTGGCAGCTGATGGGAAGAGCCAGTTTCTTTAAGGCCTCTGGTAAGTCATCCAGGCACTGCTGATGGGCTCACACCTCTTAGCATATGAGTGACACAAGTCAGACAAGTTATATGAAGTTGAGAGAGATGGGAGTATTGGAAGTGGATCTGGAAGGAGCTAGGGGGAGGCCTGAGGGGTACATGTGATCAAACTACACTGTGTGCATGTATAACATTCTCAAAAAATTAATGAAACATCACATATATTTTTAAGAAGGTTGCACAGGCCTGGCTGCAGACTGCAAGCTCTAATGTGACTCCTGGGCTATGGCATCTGGGCTGCACAGTCCTCTCTCTAACTTCACCCTCAGATAAGCAGTGATCCCTGTGGGCTTCCCTCATCGATGAAATCTTAGAAACGTGGCACTCCTTTAGTTGCTGACCAGACTTTACACAGACACTAAGACATAAGGATGGTTTGGTCCCAAGGGCCTGTGAACTTTTTGTAGTGAACTGGTTACCACTGCTTCCATGTGGGTGACAGTGATGATTACGTAGGTGACAATGAATGCACGGCCACCTGGAAGCAGCAAAGGTGTTCAGGTGGTCCAGTATGAGATGCTGCCTTTTCTCCCCCCTTTGTTCACTCAGGAGTCTGGCGTCTCTCCTTATGAGAACCTGAAGTGGACACTTAGGTTGTCCTGACACCAGGGAGCTGCGGTTTCCATACCGGATGGTGGTTGAGATAGGAATCCACCCCAGGAAGCTTTGGTAGCTGCTGTGCTCAGACTGGCCACGCTGTGGCATTGAAAACAGGAAATGTGAGCTGTTGCTGTCACTACTGTTTGTAATGCAGACACTTAGTTCTGAGGGGACAGGGAAGGGAGAGGAACTGTCATTCAGGGGCCATCTGGTTCTCTGATGACAATCATAGCTAATTAATTAAAACAGGGACACTCAGGAGGTGTGCAAGTGTCTGAAGAGAATCCTGAGCTAGGGCATAATCAAGTGCCTTTTTATCTGCAGCCATGGGAGGGCTGTCTGCTGTGACCAACAAATGTGCCCCATTCCATGCTGGTGAGCTTGGTGGCACTCAGTGACCCGGCTCTCCTCTTTATTCTTGGAGCCTAGACTTGCAGGTTCTGCTCTCAGTAAGCTCAGAACTCAGAGTTTCACTGTTTGTTTGTGATGCCTGCTAGTGCAAGCTGTTTGTGATGCCTGCTAGTGCAAGCTTGATGCTGGCGCTGCCGCTTCCTTCAGTCCTAAGACAGAACTCTGAAAGCCTTTCCATGCTAACACCGTCATGTTGGAGTTACGAGTTGTGATCCTATGGCTCTGTGCACAGCAGAGGAGGCAAATGCTACTCTGAAAGCTTTTAACTCTTGCACTGGATTATCTCAAAGGCCCAGAAACTGTTCTTCCAACTGCAGAGAACTAACCATTACTCCAAACATCTCATGGTGAGTATGGAGGATCACATCTGTAACCCCGACATTCAGGATGTTGCTGCAAGAGGATTGTCTTGAGTTTCAGTATCATCTTTAAAAGAAAAGAAAAGAAAAAAAAAAAAAAAAAAAAAAAAAAAGAATGTCCCTATTTAGAATCCTTCTAGCTAGTCATAAACAGGTAAGAGGCTTATGTCTCCTTATACACAGAATATATCATATAAGAGAGAAATGTATTCATTTAATTCAGAGTAACCCACAGTGCAATGTGAAAGCCACTTTGGAAATAGAAGACACCCATTCAGCCCAGACAAAGCCTTATGAAGTTCTTGAATTCTTCACACAGAGGGCAAACCTGACCGTTTGACTTTGCAGACATTATCAACCAAATGCTTTTGAATGTTACATGTTAAACTCCTTGAGATTTTTCCAAAGACACTGGAAGGGTACTTCCTCATTTCAGAAAGTTACGTGAGTGCTCTCCTGTAAAAGGGACAAACACACCTTTTCTAACTGCAGCTTGAGGAAACAAATCCTAAAGAGAAATGCAGACAGACAGAGGGACAGCACCATTAGAATGCAACAGCCTCTTCAAGTGATTGTGGGCGAGTGGCAGCCTTTGAATAGCTAATCAGGTGTTTGGATGGGTCCAACCCACATCACCTCTACCTATGGGATTAGTTTGGTAACTACCACATGTGCAGTGAACAGCCCTTGGTCATGGATCTGCAAAGAGACAAAGGCTTCACAGTCCTCTGGTAACCAGAGAGGCTGCTGCTGTTCCATCATACCCAGGCCCTTAAAACTTTAATGACAATTCATCTCTTCAGTCCTATTATTGCGCTTGAATATTTCATGTGTAGCACATATCACTCTCTTTTGGAGAACTGTATGTTGAAGTCGGGGGATAGCAAATACAGAGAAAGTAAACGGCTGTTTTAAAAAGTCTTGACTATCATCTAAAAGGTACCGTACGGCACCTCATCAGATGATGCAATGCAGCCTGCAAGGTGGGAAGGAACAGGGTCCAATTCCTTATCAGATTGTGATAGAAAAAATGCTGCTGTTTTCAGTGAGCAATTCTCTCATCTGCAATGAATCTTGGTTTCTTTATAAAGAAATAGAACATGTATGACAAGACCGAGAAGTAGAAGGGCATCCAAGGAGCTGTCTGTTGTTTGTAGCATCAAGCAAAAATTGTAAAACTATCAAGATACTTCCTCATTCAAAATAATTATTTCCCTGAATCTCAGAATGCACCCTGGAACCTTAAATATCCCTCAAGGCCATAATGCCGCAGACTTGAGGCTATGGGGCAAATTACATTTCTCTGACCCTCCAAGTCATCTTCCCTGAGAAGTGATTGAGAAACAAATGACCATGGCATTCCTGGGGACCACCCTTGCATTGCATTCATATAGTCAGTCCCCCTTGGGAAATAGAGATAGCCCCCTCGCCCATTGGCAGGTACTCAATCACATGCGCCCGTATCCTGGCCAGTGTCTTGGGGTGGGATGAAGGAAGCTGGCTGTCAAAGCATCAGCCGGCTCAGTTATAGCACCTGCTCTGGAGCCCTCATGCCCAGCCTACTCCTACGGCAAGTGTGACTCCTGGGAATGGTGGGCTGGCAGGATGGCTTCGGATGCAGAGACCCTTTTGCTGGCATTGGGATGCCTTTCTTTATCTTCTTTTTTAAACCCCAGGTGTTCAGCCTTGAGAGAAATGGGCAGAATGAGCTCCGTTTGATTAGTGTGTTTGGTTAGTGTGTGCACCTGCGGTGAAATGGGCAGAGATAGGCACTGGGGAAGAAATGATCAACTCCAATTAACTGGCTGCACAGAGACCATGTGGAGGTCACTGGAGGTCTTTTAAAGAAACTGAGAATTCTCTGGAAATACTGAAGATGTCCAGGCCAGATAGAAATGCGATTTGACAAAACGATGTTAGGAAATGCCCACCGTAGATTTGAATGTGTCCAAGAACATAGAACACTAGAAAACAAACCCACCATGCTCTTCCCTGCAGCTGGGTGGGAGGCTTGTGTCAGGAAATCCATTGATCTCCTGTAAGTTTTGGGGTTGTATCTCTGTAAAGTAATAGGTGAGGGGACTCAGGTGACCTGCTGAGCGTTCCTTTCTGTGCTTGCTTAAATCTTTAGCCTCCAACCCATGGTGTGTGTGTGTGTGTGTGTGTGTGTGTGTGTCAAGTTATCAACAAAAGAAACAAGGTCTGAGGCCCAGCATATACTCCAGAGATGTTTCATGAAGGGGCAAGTATCAGGCTGAGAAGTTGGGTGGCGATCAGGGCAGCTTTCCCCGGATGGAGTCTGGCCTGATCTGACACTCATAAAGACTGGAACCACACTTCTGGAGTCTTCCTAGAGAACTTTGTACCTTTAAAGGGGGGCTGCTGGAAGGAAAGAGCAGGGGAGAGGCTTAGCAGCAGGCCTGGTCTGAATAGAGTCTACCTGAGACATTCGAAGAAGAAATGTGTGTGTGTGTGTGTGTGTGTGTGTGTGTCTGTGTGTGTGTATGTACATGTGTGTGAGCGTTAGTGTGTATGCTTGTGCATATATTCGTATATATACATACATACATATAAGTGCTTTTATGGGTATGAGCATATATATGTGTGTTTGTGTGTGTATGCTAGTGTGTGTGTGTGTGTTTTATGGGTGTGAGCGTGTGTGTGCGCGCGCCCACGCGTGTGTGCGCGCTCGCTCGCTTGCTTATGTGCCTGAGTGTGACATGCTGGGCTGGAATCTTAGGTCCTAGGCTTCAGGAAAAGTTCGTATCTTCATGGTAATCACACTGACCAGAGAAGGGAAGGAAAGTATGGGAAATTCAGGAGAGTGGAAAATGGGAAAGGGATTTGTGGGAAAGAAGACAGAGGGAAGAAGTATCACCAGAGGGAGAAGAGGAAGAGGGAGTGAAGGGTAGTCTGCGGAGAAGTAGAGAAAAGGAGGGAGGATCTCAGAAAGCGGAAAGCAAGAGAACCCAGCGGTTCTAGCGGGGCAGGCGCTGGAGTCCAGGGGGCTGGCATGCAGAAACGCACAGGAAGAAATCCCTTAGGGAAAAGAAGCGGAGGCGGTCGGAACTAAGTCTCCCCAGGCAGGTTTGTTCACAGTGACCTGGCCCAGCTCTCACATGCCCCTAGAGGGGTCAGGCATCGCTTCCCATCTCCTCCTAGCTTCGAACCCCCACCCACCCCTACCTCCTTCCTCTGGTTTTGCAACCTTACCTGGCCCTTGACCAGGCTGGCAGCAAACTGGCGCATGACGGCCTCCACGGTGTAGGCGCTGGACCAGCCGCGCGGCGTGAGCAACTCCATGCAGATGGCGCCGCCGTCCAGCACGTAGCCGTTCTCCAGCCGCGGGCTGAGCACCCGCATGAAGGGCGGCGAGAAGGGGAAGTTATCCGGGAAGGTGAGGTTGAGCAGGATGAACTCGGTGTTGGTCTCCTTCATGTCCTGCCACAGCACCGAGTCCTTGTCCACCTGGTGCAGCTTCACGTTCCAATCGAAGAGGCTGTCGTTCACCAGCTCCACCGAGATGAAGCGGTCACTGAGGCGCGCGATGTCCTGGAGCTCCTTCATGAGCCGCCGGCTGCGCACCTGTGTGCAGTGCTGCTGGCGCGCCGCGGGCACCAGGCTGCCGCCGGTCGCCGCCGCGGCCACCGCGGGGCCCGGCCCCGCCCTGGCGCCCGCCGCCCGCTCCCGGGGCCCCCCGGCGCCCGCCGCCCCCGCCGCCCCCGCGCCCGGCTGCGGCTGCTTGTCGCGCGCGGCCAGCTCCGCGGCGCGCTTGCTCTTGCCCTTGCCGGGGCCCGGGCTGGCGTCGCCCGCGCCCCCGGGGTGCTGCTGCTGCTGTTGCTGCTGCTGCTGCTTGTGGCCGCCGCTCTTGCCGCCTCCTTTGCCGCGCAGCGACGCGCTCTGCTGGCCGCCGCCTCCGCCGCGGTGGTTGTGGTGGTGTTTGGGGTCCTCCGTGTCCCGGTTGTGCAGGCGAATGAGCCCGATTTTACGGAGCAGCGTGGCCATCTTAGGCTCGGTTTTGGCCGGCGGCTCCCCGGGGCTCCTGATCCCGGAACGGGATAGTTGGGACACGCGGCGCTTGGGGCGGCGGCAGGCGACCGCTCAGCGGGGCGCGGCGAGGGCCACCTCAGGAGCCGGCGGCCGTGGCGCAGCGGAGCTGGTAGTACCGGCGCTCGCTGGCCGCTGTGTCGCCGCTGTCATATGACGGGTCTGCTCCGGCGAGAGCTCCGGCCGCCCGGGGAGGGGAGGCGTGGAGACGCGGAGCCACTGCTGTCCCTGGCCGGTCCCAGAGCGCAGTCCCCGGACGCCCGGTGTCCGTGGTCCTTTGTGCGCGGCCGCAGACTGGCTGGCCGGGAGTCTGAGAACAGCACCGAGGCAGGCAGAGCTGCCCGCGGCGCCCCGGAGGCGGCGAGGTGGCCTCGGAGTCGCGCTGTGCGCCTGCCGGGCCGTGCGGCGCTGGCGGCTACCGCGGGGCCCGGGCCACTGCCGCTCTCGTCGCCGCCGCCGCTGCGGCTGCTGACATTGCAGAGGCGGCTGCTCCGTCTGAGCCGAGCGCGGCGCGGAGGGGGCGGCACTGGCGGCCGGGAGGGGGGGCGCGGGGCGGAGCCGCGGGCTTGACTGCGCCGTGCCACCCCCGCCGCCGGGTTCCTGCGGCGACACGCGCACGGCCGCTGGGGGGAGACAGCGGTGCGCGATCGCACCGTTGGCTCTGGGCGGCGTGCGAGCCAGGGAACCAGAGATGGGTTGGCCTACGCTAATAGGGTCTCAGAATCACTGCATTATTCTATCCCCAATTCTGGATGCCGAGTCTGGGGTCTAGGTCTCATATCCCATTTAACCTCCTTGGACAACGTAGAGGGGAAGGGTGGAAATCTACCTCTTTATTAATCCTTCCAATCAGATGGATGAACCCAATGTGTCTATGCAACAGTTCTGGGCGGGTGGGAGCGAAGGACGGCAGGAAGGGACACTTTCTTCAGAACAGATCAAAGAATCCGACCCGAGAGCAGGATGAGAGTCCAGGCCAGCCGCAAACCCAAAGCACAGCCTCCAAGTCACGACTCAAGTAAAAGCCAACACACAGACCCCACTGGGCAGCTCCGCTCCTGCCTGTTGGCAGCAGAGTCTCGGCTTTCCGCGGCCAGGTTGTGAGTAGTGGCGGCTTTCCAAAATGCTCATCAAATGTCTTCCCTGGCGCTGACCCGTGCCGAGGGTGGGAAAGGACATCCTGAGCAGCACCTCCCTCGCCCACAGTGCGAGGGACCTCCCCAGTGCTCGCATAAGGGAGGGATCCGCCTTCCACCTGCAGATTCCCAGCCCTTCCTGCCTTTTCTCCTTCTAGCCTGTGGAAACTCACATTTAAAATCTGGTGAAAATTCCAACTAAACGGTATGTCAGATTAGTTCAAATTGTGAAGGGTCCGGCGTGATGCGTGTGTAGACCAATTGAGAAGGCGAAACCAATCCCTCAAGTACAGGAAATATCCTGATACCACCCTAGCCGCTCGGTTCTTGTTTCTTCTGGATGCGAGCACGTCGCCTTTTTGCTTCCAACATCTTTTTACCAGAGTTTGAATTTTCAGCGTGGAAAATAACTGGTGAGGTCACTGTGAAGGCACTGAGCGGAAGGATTCATATTTAGGGATAGATATGTAACAGGGATGAACTGGTTTAGAGGAGCAGAAGGTTCATGCCCAGCTGGCATTGCACTAGGAGAGGGGGTTCCCTAGAGGCCCCGGCAGTCCTTTGACTTTCAGCAGGACCCACTCAGTGTTGTGAACAAAGAACAACTCAGAGTATTGGGTAAATCAGAGCCAAGCTGACCCAAGGTCCCTTTGTCCTAATCTGATTGTTTTGTTTATGAGTTCATTCTATACCATTCTCTTGTTTTTATCATTTTGTGTCACCACCATCACTGTCGCAGCCGCCGCCGCTGTCGTGGTAGTCGTCGTCATCATCATCATCATCACTGAGAAAGAGCAAGAGGGTAGAAGTATATGCCTGCAGCTTCCTGAGAGTAATTTTCTTTAACCATGCAGGCTCAATAAAATGGTGAAAAGCTGGGGAGAAAGAGGCTGGGCAGGGGTCAGGGTCAACTACCTTGCTCATTGTTCTGTCAAAAATGCCTGGGCAAAGGCAACTTAGGGAAGATGCGCTGGCTAGTTTTATGTCAACTTGACACAAGCTAGAGTCTTCCCAAAGGAGGAAGCCTCAACTGAGAAAAATGTCTCTGTGAGATATGGCTCCAGGCAGGTCATTTTCTTAGTGATTGATGAGGAGAACAAAGCCTGTTGTGGGTGGGACGGTCTCTGGGGTAACAGTCCCCAGTTCTATAAGAAAGCAGATTGAGCAAGTCATGATGAGCAAGCCAGTAAGCAGCACCCTTCCATGGCCTCTGCGTTGGCTCCTGCCTCCAGATTCCTGCCCTGGATGAGTCTCTGCCCTCACTGTTTTCTTATGGTGAACTGTTAAATGGAAATATGAATGAAATAAACCCTTTCCTCTCTAGCTTGTTTTTGATCTTGGTGTTTCATTACAGTAATATTAACCTTAACTAAGACAGAAGGAAAAGCTTGTTTTAGCCTGTAGTTTGTGGGCATAGTCAATCGTGGTGGGGGTGGAAGCCAGAGGCAGGCGGTCACAATGCACCCACAGTCAGAGAGCAAAGAGTTCATCTTACTTTCTGCTGTTTCCCATATTTACTCAGTCATGTTCATGGCATGATGACAGCCACATTCAGGGTAGTTCTTCCTTGCTCAGGTAAACTTTTCTGGCAACGCCCTTATCGACATGCCCAGAAATATGTTTCTATGGTGATTTTAAATCACACCAAGCTCACAATCAATATTAATTATCACACAGTCTATGCCTTATGATTTAACTTTTATGGAAGCCCTAGCAAGTATTCTAAGACAGTTTTTATTGGCAAGAAACTGAGTTCTAAAGAGACCCAGCTGCTTGCTCCACACTGCCATATGATAAGAGGAATGGTCTAGCTGGGACCCATATCATGGTGACCCTCTACCACCAGATCCGCAGGTCCCAAGGCCCCCAGGCTTGCCTAAGACTGATTTGCTGTGCCTACCCTAGCAGAGAAGATGAGAAAGCCTGAAAGGCTGAACGGGATTGCCATGATCTCTGAACCAGAGAACTTGGGCAGTGATGGGTCCACCCCCTAGACCAGGGTTGCCATTGGAAATCCCAGACAGCAGTTGATTTGCACCTGCTCTTGAGAACATTTATTCTCTAGGGTAGTTGTTTCGTGTAGAGATGGTGTATCTCCCAAGGGTTCATATGTTGAAATCCTTAAGCTATGAGCCATGGGTCTTTTAAGAGATGGGTTTATTGAGACATTATTATTGGCCTTTGGCTCCCTCTGTAAACACTCCTACCAGAAGGCCATCCACCATGATGTGACGAAAGAACTGGCACCATGCTGTTTGGATTTTGAGCTTCCCCAATGGTGTGCCAAAACAACTTCTTTGCAAGTGACTGAGGAGTTTCATTGCAGCAAAGGAAGATAGAGTGTATGGCATTTACATAACATGTCAGGTTGTAGGTACGGTTAGAGAGTGAAATGATCAGGATTAATGCTGATGCTGGGACAAGACATCCAATCAGGACTGGCTGACACCAGGAATAAGTGTGTCATCTGTCTCATCTACAGAATCTAGGACCACCAACTCTATAAAAGTCTAAAGCCAGGGCTGGAGAAATGGCTCGGCAGTTAAGAGAACATACTGCTCTTCCAGAGGACCTGAGTTAGATTCCCAGCAACCACATGGTGGCTCACAACCTCTTGTACCTCCAGCTCCAGAGTTTCTGATGCCCTCTTCTGGCCTCCACAGGCATGCATGTATGCATACACATAATAAAAAATAAATTAAAATCTTAAAAAAATCTAAACCCAAATGTTAGTTAAACAAAAAAACCACCAAAATTTGTAAGTGTAGATGTTTAAGAGAGTCACACACACTCCATTTGAGGACTTGTGTCTAAGGTGTTGCACAGCAGCTGCAGTGACACACGTGATGCACTGAGAAGAAAAGGCCATGTATCATTCCATCTCAAGTCTTCTTTGCACTGCTCTTGATGGGGAGAAGTGGGTTCTGTGCTCCCTTCCTTCAATCAACTCTAGGCTGGGGCTGACTGATATGCTCAGGGTAGTACAGGTCTGCAACAAAGCCAAGTGACTTCCGAGGTGGTTTTCCTTACAGGATGCTAAATTCACTTGTTTTCTATCTCTTGTCTCTGCAGTGTAGTTACCATGTGGTGAAGCCCAATCCCAAACTGCATGAGTATTTAAGCCCTTACTCCAGCAGAGGTCTTCACAGACAGCCCAAGGTAATTCCTGGCAGGAATATCAATGACTCCATTCTTCAGCCTTGAGCATACCAGATGAAGTGCTGGTCTTGTAGTGAGTTCTTCAGCTGCAGAAGCTGTGAGGGGTAAAAAAAAAAAAAAAAAAAAAAAAGGAAATCCTGTTGGGGTAAGCCATTATGTTTTGGAATCATTTACTATGAAATAGCCGTAAATTATAAAGTGCCTGCCTACATAGATTAACCATTCCTTCCCGAAGACAGGCACTCATTTTGCCAGATCGCCTTATAGACAGGTACAGGCATGTGATCTGGTTTTGGCCAATGCAATTCCTACAGTGAACTTCAGGGTGAAGAGAGAAGCCCAAACAGAGTGATGGGGTGGTGGAGGGGTCCCCTGCTTTCGAGGCAGCAACATCGGGAGTCCTCCCAGAGCTTTGAAACTTAGGAGTGATGGTTCTGGCATCCTCCCCAGATCAGCCTGGGTGACATTCCAGGCTTCATAGTTTCCAGTTAAATATTTATGTCCCTATTGTAGATTGTTTTTTGGGAGGGAGATATAGTGTTTTACTGTGCAGCCCCTAGCTGGCCTGGAAGTCAGAGACTTGCCTGCTTCTGGCTTCTGAGTGCTGGGATTAAAAGTGTGTGTCATCACACCCAGCTAGCTTATACATTCTTAAGGTGGTTTCTGT